TTTATGAATTCAACTTCGTCTTGGCGTAGAAAACTAAATATTTTTACCCGTTACTAATTGTAAACACGTGTCTATTTATCCTTATATCATAATCTGTATATGAAATCAATAACACTAAAAGTTTTCTTATTATAAAACTATAACTTCAATTTAATCTCAAGTCATGCTAACAAAATAAGCTAACAACCAATTTATTCATGTGATTAGAATACCCAATAACTTAGCTACTGTATTTCTACCAACCCCTCCTTAATTTAACTTTCTGTGATATTTACGGCTTAGAAGCCTAATTTTCGATTTCTGTCGTCTAATGCTTCGAACACTATACAATATCAAAGTGCAAAACTAATTGCAAAACTAGATTCTATGTAAAAATTGGAATATACTGTCTATGAGGAATTCCGGTCACCGTATACTGTCTATGAGGAATTCCGGTCACCGAATCCACCGCTGTCGCCGTCGTCTATGGTGGCCGGAGGTACCTTGGTTCCTAAATCTTGTAATTCTTACGCCAAGACGCAGCAAATTTCATATAGAACTCAGTTCTATAGCCAACTACTACAATTTATGTCAATATCTAACAAAATCCCAATTTTTATTTCTTAAATCCCTAAGTCCCATTTTGATCATGGATCAATTTCCTGCCGTTAAATCGCCTAAATATATGCAAATGATTTCTAAAGGAGTGAAATGGGAGGACAATCAACTTACCTCGCCGGAGAGTATAGTCGGAGTTGCTCGGAGGGAAGGACAGAGACGCGACTGTCTTGATCGCGCTAAGGTCCCCAGCTTCGCTGTGCCTCTTGCGCTCACCAGAAACGGAAACGGAGAGAAGGGAAGGAAGGCGGGCTGCCGCGGCGAGGAGTCGACGGCGAGGAGGCGCAGCGCGGGTCTCTGGTTGTCGGAAAAACGAGGGGAGGTGAAGGGCAAGGGTGAGATCGACGCTGCAGGAAGAAGAAGAAAGGAGAGAAAAAGAAAGAAAGAAAGTGGGTCGGTTTCTAGATCATTCCGGTTCGATTCGAACCGCTTCTAGACCATTCCGGTTTCGATTCGACCCGGTGTGGTCTAATTTCTATGATTTGGCTCAATTAGCTTGGTTTCGAAAAAATCAAATTGGTTTACGGGTCTAGTTTTAGCATAATAAAATACTAAGCCTGGTGGTACATCTTATTGGTTGAAGATAAAATTTTTATTTTAATGAAAATTCTATGAAATTTAATTCGGATTGTTTAAAATACTAGCTGGTGTAATCTTATTGGTTGAAATAAAAATTTTATTTTTAAATGAAAATTCTATGAAATTAAATTTTCGGATTGTTTCAATAAATTAGCTAATTATATATTTATTTTATAAAAAAATTTAAATACTAAAGATTCACGGAAAATAGATTAGTATATATGTAAAAAATTATATATGATCAAAACTATATTAATTGTCTATTTTTCTTAGTAATAAATATGAAAATAAATCAATATTTAAATTCTGTATTTATATTTATAATTTGCTTAATTAAAGTCTTATTAAATATATTATCTTTTTTGGGCCTCATTCAGAATAAATGTAAAACAAAATTAATTTTTAAAAAATTTATACATCAATATTCGTATTAATTCATTTTCCATATTTAGTACAGTGTTAATTTTTTTTTTTTGTTAAGTAGATATACGAGGAAATTTAATTTCTCTTCCTTCAAACCACCTCAAACTGCTAAATCAAACCAAAGTGCGACTAACTAAAAGTTTAGTTTGGTTTGAAAATTTTGATGGTTCAGTATGATTTTAGCTTTTTCAAACTCTCACTTCAAGTTTGGTTTGAATATTTACTTCAAACCGAATCAAATCGAACTAGAACAACCCTAGCTACTTCTTACTTTATAATGTTAATTCAATTTTTTTCTCTCTTTTTGTAATATTTTTTTAGGCTAATTAGGCTATAATTATCTGCTAAATCTCCAACTTGCTTAATATTTTGTGGACATATAAAATTTCAACTTGATATAAATAAAAGTGGCTAGTTAATGAAACCATCTTGTCGGTTGTCACAGTATATCTTGCAATCAATTTCAAGCTTGTTAGCTAAATTTGTACGTATATAGAGAATTGAGTCGAGATAACCTTATTGCATTTATGGTTTTGATGTACATAGAAGAGCTAATTAATGTGCATAGAACAAAATTCAAGGACTAAATTGAAACCCTTTTTAAAGGGTATTAAATTAGGGTTTCTGGCCAAGATTGATTTTATTTCTGCACTCATCATTTGGTAGTTACGTACTCTTGCATGTGTTAGGACATAATAAATGTTAACAACAAAATGGCAGGATGTTGTATGAACCCTTCTTACAAGGGTTGTACATCTCTTGATTACACAGTTAGAACGTCGATTCATTATTAAAACTCATATATTATGTCTTGTTCGAATTTCTCTTAATAATTTAAAAGTGTTCATTCAAATAATATGATTAATGTTGTGTATAAAATATCGTTCTTGCATGTTCTATCTTTTTCAAACTGAATTATTGTCATAATTTAGGACCCCACTTTATGATTGATCATACAATATTAGTATTGCTCAATCAATTTTTTTAGGCCAATCATACACCGTCCATTGTCTTTCTTGCTTGTGCAAGTTTTCATTCAAATATCCATTCTCGATTCTTGATTTTAACCAAACCTAGCATGGGGTACACCTTATATAGAATAGGTAGAACAAGTACAAATTTTTTTAGCTTCTTTGGACAATGCACAATGATTTGTTCCTTTTCTAAAGTTATTATTGGATATTAGATTTTATTTTTATTTTTTTTTCATGAGATATGTCATATATTATAAATCTGCACTCAGAATGTTGCGATTTAAATAAATTTACATAATTATAATTTTCTAAATATATATTATCACAAATTATATTCAAGACCTATTAAATGGCAATTCAGCTAAATAGAAGTTATGATCTATATAAAAATGAGAGAAGAGTGATCAAACATAAAACTTAACAGTTCCAAAGCATTAATCTTACCATTCAGGTTGGAATCTGAAGGTCAAAATTTATGATACTTCCAAATTTAGAATCAAAAGATTTCGGATTAAATTTCAATTTAGTTAGGGATTTATAAAAATTTGCAGTAAGTTGCCACAGAGTTGCAAAGAACCATTACTTCCACTTGAAGATATGTGTAATAAGCTGGCATTTTTACGTATATACATAAGTTAGGTCCCACTGTAGCAAGACTGCTATAATCCCAACCGAAAAAGAATGGTTCTTTCTAGATTCACTGTATAATGTGATGTGACTTTGAAGAGAAGACGACCCAACTAGATAGACAAACATTAACTTGCTTTATGATTTGAATCCACAAAGAGGAGTGAAAACGAGAGCTCCTTAGTTTATAACCACATAGGTGTAAAGAGCCCTATGGAGTATGGATTCTTCCAGCCACTTATATCTTCCATACTGTACAATGTTGATCTGAGTTTGCAATGATTCGTTACGAAGATTAACGAGCCGAAAGAACATTATACATTACGCAGTAGGAATAGTTCTTCCCTTTACGTACTAAATTAGTAAAAAATTTCCTGGTTGAGAACTAAAAATCTCAAACCTGAAACCTCTTATTTCCCGTACAAATGAAAAAATACTTGAAAATTTAATGATAAATGGAAATTAACATATTGGTTGAACTTACTAATAAGAATATTAATCAAGATGAGTTGCATCCTATCATTCTATTATGGTATTATGAACATTCAAAGTTTCAATTTTGTGTATTACAAGGTATTAACTCAATTGCTAGATGAAACTACTAACAAAAGGAATATTTTGACAACTAAAATTTTTCTTAATTTGTATAGAGAAGAAGAATTTGACTATTATAAATTCAAAATTATTATAAAAATAAAAATAAAATTATAAAAATATAATGACCAATAAGGACATTACAATGTAAAGAATTGGCTGTTGGAAACTCCCAAATTATTTTAAAGGGAGATTCTGAGATGACATGTGTCGGTTTGGAAATAATTTACAGTTGAATTTTTGGTTGGTCACATCTTGGTTATTTTTGTCTCCCACGTAATGAGGTTATGGTGGTAAGTTTTATGATATCTTATGGGTTATTTGGCTTCGTTAAAACGAACCACGTGGAAAGCTTCATTATTCTTTTGTCATGCACTTCTCTTAATATATTAATTCATAGTATCAAGAAGAAAAAAAAAAGAATTAATTTTTCAGACAACACTATAAAAGAATTAAAGAAAATATTTTGGGACAGCTGGTAGTAAATAATAATAATAATAATAATTCATTACTATTTTTATTATCATTGTCAGAATCATATATATGGACTCTCATGCCTGACATAATTAGAACAATAAAATAATTAACTCCCAAGCACCATCATCTGTGATTTGGCCCTTCAAAGCCAATCAAAATGGAAAAATGATATAAGAACCATTTTTGTTTAGATATATAAACATGTACACGTAATTAATTATTTATTAGTTAGGTTTTTCTTTTATTGGTTGACTTTATAATCAACTTTATTCTGACTCAAATTACAATCTATAACTTAGATCGCTAAAAAACCCGATCATTGTTTACCAACTACATATTGTCTAATTAAATCCAATTCTCTCTCGATATGTTTCTCAAAAAATCCGATTCGTGCAGATTATTCCCCCAACTAATGAAGAGATCTCGGCGGAATTGACATCAGAAATTTGCACTGATAGTTTTTTTTTTTTTTTTTTTACTGATAGTTTTTTTTTTTTTTTTTTTGTTTGGTGTTTTGTAATATAGAAATTATATTTAATAAATTTAACATGAGCCAGGTTAAAAAATGTTTTGAGGTCTTGTCTTTTTTTTTTTTTTTTTTTGTGGTGTTTTGTAAATATAGAAATTAATTAATAAATTTAACATGAGCCATGGTAAAAAATGTTTGAGGTCTTGTCTGTAAATTTTAGTTGCAAGAATTGTCCAAAGGTAAAGATATGTGTACGAATATATATAAAAACAAAAGTTTTTACATTTACTGAAACTACAAAATACATTGATTTTAATAGGATATTCTAAATTTTACAAAAAGGAAATGCAAAACAACAAGAAAAAACATTTATGATTAATTCACAAGCGATTAATTCAAGAAAGCAACTAGCTCTGTCTGGAGCTTTTTTCTTGCTTTAATATTATTTTATCTACCATAATAATAATAATTATTTAATTAATTAACCATAATCAATTGCTGTTGGGCTTCAAATCTTAGTTCTTCTTTCATCTTTCTAATAAATTCTTCAAATTTCTTATTCAACTCCTCCGTACTCAACATTCCATTTTCTTCTTCTTCCTCATAATCTTCTTCTTCTTCTTCTTCTTGATAGTCTTCATGAATAAGAAACTTGTCATCGAACTCTTTGACCTCTTCTTGACCACCGTCGTCTTCTTGAACAAGAAATTCACTTTCTTTTTCTTCTTCTATTTCTTTATCATTTTCTCTTGTTTCCACCTCAGCAGCAGCAGCAGAAACATTTTCTTGATCCATTAAATCTTCTGTATTCTCTAGCATTGGCGATTTTGACGAGTCCAATTTTAGTGTTGGTGGCTCATCATCTTCATAGTTCTTTACAGAGTAGCCAATGCTGTTATTATGGCTGTTATAGTTCTTTGAGGAAGAATTATCATTATTGTTATCATCAGAAGTAGTAACCAAACCAGAGAATTTGGCAACGAAAACTAAAAGTCCATTACAGATGAGGAACAAGCATTTCTTATCAATGGTGTGGCTAAAGAGCTGGACAGGGACAGTAGAGAAGCAGAAGTTGAAAGAATGGAGGAAAGAAAGTCTAGCAGAGTTTGATAATATTAAAGAAAAAACTGATACAGAAAGTAACAATTGGGTTATGTTCTTTAAGAACTGGTATCTTGTAAATTGGCTTAAAGTTTGAAGGTTCTTGTGTTCTGCTTGTTCCATGATATTTTCTGCTTTCTTTTGAGGAGAAGAAGAAGAAGAAGGAGTTTGGAGTTTGCACTTAGAGAGAGTTTGATGGTTTTGAGGTGGTTTGTTTATAAAAAAAAACCCATGAAGTCTATGTCTTATATAGAGGAGAATTTAGAGCATTGCACTTGCCTTAGGTGGGAGTAGGCAATTTTACTAAAATATCCTTATTGGTTTTTATGTGGCTTAGAGGGAGAAATTCATATCAATCAAGAAGTGCCGTTTGAAAATTTGTGACAAATAAAGATTGCCCATATGGGAGGTACCTTCTCATTATTGATTATTTGATTACTCCTCAGTATTTTGAACATTCTGCCTAAGCGGCAACCATTGCCATCTCTATTCCATGTATTGTGTGGAATGAATACGTAGTTTGCCTTAATTAGAACATCGTACAATACTAACCATGTGTGATTGTTGTTTTCCACCTACGTTGAAAGTAGAAAGTCTCGTACACCATAAAAGTTTTCGGTAAGTAATTTGATAACTAAAAAAGAGAATTACTCCTATTATGCAATTTATAATGTTCTTTCGACTCTGTAAATTGAATATGATCGGCTCAAAATTCAGTTACTCTTTAAAAATTCAGTAATTTGATAACTAATTAATCGATGCAATTCTTTTCGGACTCTATGCCTGACTTGATTAAGAGCATGTACTTACTATAGGCAGGTTCCAATACTTTATACCTAATTTACTAATCAATCGATTCAATTCTTTGTCGAACTCTATGTCCGGCTAGATTAAGAGTATGTACTAACTATAGGCATGTTCAAATGCTTTATACCTTATTCACTAGCTAATTAATCGATTCAATTCTTTGTCCAACTCTATGTCCAGCTAGATTAAGAGTATGTATAAACTATAGCGCAGGTTCAGATGCTTAACACATTTAAAGTACGAATATTGATTTTTTGTAACAACTTAAATCACCCTATCACTTATTTTTTAGGTTAAATGTGAATAGATTTTTATATATCCAAAGATGTCGAATTATAAACTGATAGTACTTTTTTTATAATTCTTTCACACCTTCAATCTCTCACTCCATGTTATCTTTTATGCTTTAATATATTAAAATATCTTTAAATACAATTTATAACCTATTTTATTTCTTTTTCCTTTTCAGCATATGTATTTCCACCTTTTACAGATAAAATTATTTTAACAGTTATAATTTTAAAATTTAAACCATTTGTCAGATTTTTTATTCCACAACCCTCCATTCCTCTATCTCTTTTAATATTCTTCACGTATAAGAAAAGCATAAAAAATAATATTTATTTTACAAATTTAATAAATTTGAGTGAAATTGTGGTCCAATTTTATAATTATCCACATGCATGCTTATTTATACCACGGCACTTACAGTTTTGTCTATATACATATACATCTGACAAAATATTTTTGTATTTGTTAAATACTTGCTTTTATTTTGGAATTTACACGTTAAAGTTATTTCTATCTCTTTATTTTGAAAAAGATTTGTTATCCACATCTCTTTATTTTACATCCCAAAAGGGTGAAGAATATTCAGCCTGTTCTTTCTTTTTTTGAAAAAAGGGAAATTTTTATTATTAATTAATTAATTAATTAAATTATAACTGCATGAACAGACCAATAATTGTTAAAATGACCATCCAATCAAATTACGTGTCTATCAGGTGAAAGTGATTCCAATTTCACTTGGAAGGGTATCATCAAGTTTGAATCTTAGTGTTTAAGCAATGTAGCAATATTCAACCAGGTCAACCTTGTTGTGGTCTGATTTTTATTAGGCATTAAGTTGTTTGTACTGTAAACTTTTCTCCGCTCTTTTAATCTTAATCGTATGAAGATAATAATTTATATTTTTAGAAAAAAAAAAATTATTTCATTAACGTGTTTTTATTTCTCAGAAAGTTAATATCTCAACCAAATATAATCACACTGTACTTTGCAGAAGTATACGTAAACTTACAATTTATAATAGATTAAAAATTGGATTTAAATTTACTCTTGCAAATAAAAGTCATTTAATTAATTGCTATATATATAACATGCACTAATTATACATTAATTATTAATTAATCATCAAAGCTTAAAAAGGCAGGCTATATATCATATACATATAACATGCACATAATTAATAACATATTATTATTAATTAATCATCAAAAGCTAAAAGGCAGGGCTTATATTATATAATATATATGATATATATATATTATATTATTTGAAACTCGAAATTTAATAAAGCAGCATGGAATGATTCAAAGCTGTCTGGCCAAAGGAAAGGCTCCCATAGCAAATTTGCCCCTTTTCTGATGAAGGGTTACACCTTTAAACTACAAGTCCATACTCCTTAAGAAGCATATCAAGTCTCCACTCTTCCATCTTCTCATAATCAGCTTTCTTGTTACCTTGGGTGTTGAAGAGGCACTGAAACCCATTGGGTATTTCTTCTTTTTCTTTCGGTACTTCTCCATTATTATCTTTCGCGGCAAGCTATAACGCTCACTTTCTCTGGCACAGCAACCACTTATTTTACTGACCATGCCATAACCAGAGAAAACTTCAGTAAATGCAGAGTTCAAAAGCCATTTTAAAGCCATCTTATTGAACTCGAAATTAATTAAGCAGCATGTAATTATTCAAAGCTGGTCTGGCCAAAGGAAAGCTCCCATAGCAAATGCCCTTTTCTGATGAAGGGTACCCTTAAAACTAAGTCCATACTCCTTAAGAAGCATATCAAGTCTCCACTCTTCCATCTTCTCATAATCAGCTTTCTTGTACCTTGGGTAGTGAAGAGGCACTTGAAACCCATTTGGGTATTCTTCTTTTCTCGTTACTTCTCCATTATTATTCTTTGGGCAAGCTATAACCTCACTTCTCTGCACAGCAACACTATTACTGACCATGCCATAACCAGAGAAAACTTCAGTAAATGCAGAGTTCAAAAGCCATTTTAAAGCCATCTTTTTCTTAAAGAGAGAAGAGAAAGAAAAGGCAATTTAGAGCTCAAGAATTTTTAAGCTCTAAAGAGCAAATTGCATTAGGACATCTATATATAGTGAAAAAAATTGAAAAAAAAAAGAAAAGAAAAAGAGATTTTTTATTGTTTTAAAATATCTCTCTTCTATTATTAAAGGTATTCATAAATGCTGCTTGATGTGCAGTGAGATTGTGATGAAGCTACTCATTGTCCAGCTCAGGGTTTATAGTTATTTGGGTAGTTGATAGTCGCTTTTGGTTCATTGAAATCAGCAGCACGGAGAAATATTAGCCACCAGTAGGGTTTTTTCAATTGCTTCAAGTGGCTGCCATTGATGGATTAATCTTCGTGGTGTTGTTGAGAGTGTGACATTGGTATGATTATCTGGGAATTATTTGGTATGCTATTTTTTTTTTTTTTTGTGGGATGTTCAACGGATTGGAATAATATTTTTGTGCTATATAGCTGGGTAGCTTGCTTCTTTGAATAACATTCATTAAATTAATAATAATTTTTATAATAAAAAAAACTCAAACCAGAAAGCTCATGCGTCAGAGTCCATACATTTATTTCTAGACATAAAAAGACCAATTAAATCACGTCTCATCGATATTTATCATCCTATTTATTATAGTGATATTGACAAAAGCATGGGGATGGTTACAAAACCGAAAAGAACTATTTAATTGTATACAATGACAAAAAGTATTGATTTAGGATTTTAAGTTAAAATTTATATTGAATAGAGTAAAATGAGAGACTTATTGTAAATTATTTGTATAATTATAGACCAAATACATAAATCAATCATATGTATACTTTTCAAAAAAAATTTTTGGTATTTGAAATTTTATGAAACACTTGTTGGGCTTTTAAAGTTATAATTTTAATAACATTACACATCGCACTAATAACAATTTCAGAGTTTTTGATTTTTATATATAAAATATCAATTGAATGCATAGTTATTACATATAATTTTTATATTTTTTAACTATCTAATAAGTATTTAATTTATCTAAATTAAACAAATAATTTTCCAAGTTGAAACCTTTAGTAGTTATAATTTGGATGAAAGAGATTCCAAGCTAGATCTTTTTGTCATGTCGTACATGCAATTGTCATTAAGTTATACCTTAGTGTCAATAAACGTAATTAATTGAAGGTTAATGTAGAAAAAAAAGAATTATTTAAACATTATTGAAATATATTTCCTTCAATTTTTTTAAGGAAGAAAAAAAGGATTAAACCACGATCAAGGAATCGGGTAAAATCAAAGGATAATGGAAGGAACTTCCTTAATCCAAATCCTTTTATCCACGATGGTATGGTTGACATTTTTTTTTCCGGTAAAAGAAAAGGAAAGCTAATAAAATTTAAATTATTTTTAAATTTGAGAGCAATATATAATTATCTAAATATCAATTTTTTCTTATAATTTATTTCCTAATCCTACATCAAAAGAATAAAAATCACAATTTTTTAAAAAATATTCTTTAATATTTTTAGCTAATAAAAATTATTTTAAAAGTTTAAAAATTAAGAAAGAAAAATTATATAAATCGAAAAATTTTATTGAAAACAAGTGATATACTATTAAGTAGTAACGAAATTCAAAATAAATAAATTACATTCAATAAACGAAGCATCCAAAAAAAATACTAATCATAAAAATTCAAACTGAACTGTTAGTATATGAAATATGATCATTAAATTTGAATATATTTGAACCAAACTATCCTGAAATCAAACCAAAGATCAAAGACCATGGGTCTTGAAGGCTAAAACCTTTTAATTGAATCGAACCAATGTACCGACCTAATCTCACTTAAAAATCAAAGAAAAAAGCTAATCAAACCGGAAAAGTTACCAAAACCCAACTCTTTCCCCCTTCTTGGCTGCTGTGAACGCAGCACTTCTTCTCTGCGTCTTCCTCCTTTGCCGGAGACGGAACGGTGAGCTACGGTCTCCTAGTACGGTGATCGATTTTCCGCTCGAAATTTGGTGCGACTTTCTTGCGTTTTCTAACTCCTCATTGCACGAACGGGGAGAGATAGAGGAACGAAGGCAGTGTCATAGCCGGTTAAAACCACCATCACCGGCGACCTTAGATATTTAGGTGAGCTCTAAATGGTCACTTTTTACTTTCTCATGCATAAATTCAAAAGGTTTTGTGGCTGTTTAGTGGGTTTAACAAAATTTGAAACTAGGGTTTTAGAATTACTAATTTGGGGATTTTGCTTCAATTACCAATTTTTTGTGAGAATAATAATAAAAGTTGAACACTTTCTTCTCCTCTCTTGTTAGTCATTGCACTTAGTTTAAGAAGTTTGTTAAACTATGGAACTTAGGGATTGTCTAGCTGCTGTTCGTGCGTGATAATTAGGAATTTTGCTACGTTTTGGTATAATTGGTACTATATTTTCTTACTAAATAATGAACAAATAAATATATAAATTGTAATCTCTGTAAAGAAGTTGGAATTTTCTTGTAATGGCAGCAGTTATGGATTGGTTTTGATGCAATTTGAACTGAGGCAGGTAATGTCAGGATAATTTCTAACATTTATAAGCTAATTAATAATTACCAGTTATATTCTTAGTTAGTAAATGATCTAATTCCAATTTCTCAAGTTATAATGTAGCATCTAGCGTTCTCCTTTTGTTTAATTAAGGTTCTTATAGTAAAATAGTTAATTAAGAGTTAGTTGGAGAATCTGAGTTTAAATAGAAGAATTGGAGACTTTGAGAATAACCTATTGCTTTTGGTACTCTGGAGAAACAAATCTTGATCGAATCCATATTTGCTCAATGGATACAATCTGATCATGGTAAAACTTCATATGGATTAAAATAGTAATTCATTATTCTTAATGACAAAGGTGGAGTGTTGGAGTATTTCTATTGATCGGTCATGTCATATAAGCTTGAGTCGGACATCCAATTGCTTCGATTTGAATTATCCGGATCTTAATGGACAAAGGGTGGAGTGTTGGAGTATTTCTTATGATCGGTCATGTCACTTATAAGCTTTGAGTCGGACAAATTTCCAATTGCTTCGATTTGAATTTATCGGAAGACATCCAATTGCTTCGATTTGAATTATCCGGAAGATGCCTTATATATTATATCAAATTCTATATTATATCAAAAAAATGGACAATCAAACCCATTTCTTGATTCAATAGAAGCCCAAAGAGGTAATTAACATTGGGAATGGAAGTTATGGCAGCAAATAGGCTAGAATGATTGGTTATTGAAGGCTTTTATATAAACAATGGATAGAGAAGGGAAGAAACCCTCTCCTCTCCACCTAGGTGGTTCGGCAACCTTATGGGTGTGAGAAGGAGAGTGTTTCTCTCTTGCTTCTAACACTCCTTTCCACTTTAGGTTAGTAAAAACAAGTGATATAGACTCAGAAATATCAGAAATATCAACTAAGGTTTGTGTGTTTGAGAATCTTGGGGCTAAAACACTCATAATCAATTATGGTAAATAGAGCAAAACTGAGTATTTGGCATTAAAAAGGGGTAATTGGCTTAATTAGGATGTGACCAGTAACTTGAAATTATTAAATTATTTTGCATTAATATGAATTTATGTGGAATATAGCCTATTCTGAGACAATTTTAAGTTTTGACTTCAAAATGAGTTTGAATGTTTATATGATGTTCTTGATGACTAAATAAGATAGAAATAATAATTTAGTATGTGGAATGTAATTATGAATGAGCTATTGACAGTATTGAGTTAAATTGAGTAATGAGTTATAATGTGATGTGTTGTGAAGACGGCGGATGGGACTAAATGAATATGAATTGCCCGATGGATGGACTTTGTGATATGTTTGTTGGTTTTGTAAATTCCAAACAGGGGGAATAGTCCAGTTTAGGGAGATTCTGTCGGAATCTGTAGGTCGAGTTTAGAATTATAATAAATGAATATCTGAAAATCAATTCTGACATTCCTCCTCAGCTCCTTCAGACTAAAGACAATAATAAGATTGCATTTTCACCACTAACCGTGAGTAGCTATATATAATATATAGTCAATTCATGCATTTGCATTTTTAATTACTTTAAATAAATTTATGTATGCATTATATTCTTTTATTTTAATTAATATAGTTGCATGTATGGGATTTTTGACTGGCAAGCTCGGGAATGTGATCTGTGGAACGTGTGGATAGGTCCGTGAATATATGATAATTGATAAATTATGAACATATGTAATTGCATATGAAATGGGCCTTGGAAAGGAAAACCATTATTATCATTATTGTGGTTGTTATTGTTGAATAAGGCTTGCCAGGTGAATATTTATGCGTACTGGGCATAGTTAATTGATTAAACATTGAATTAGGCTTACCAAGGACTATGGCCTTAAGTTTACTCAGATTCTACTGCCGAACATTAAGTTTCTTGCCTTTGATTTAAAAAATAATTAAACAAAATATCTGATTTAAAAAAATTATAGAATTAGAAATATATTTGATTATATTGAATATTTGGTTTGCGAAATATTTATTATTTTTTTCTTTAATTATTTTTTAGTTATATTTGATTTAAATTAAATGTTTAATTATTTTTTACTATATTTGATTAAATCAAATATATTTTTTCAGGAATTGGGCTTTTTGTTCTTTTGATTCAAGTTCAAGAGGTAAATCATACAAAAAGTTGATTTTTGGGCTATTTGTATATTGCTCCTAAATTCAGCAGGCAAATTGAGCCATATTGCAAAAGATATCTATGTAATTGCCAATCAAACAACAGAACTTCTATCCCTCTCCAGTTTTACAGTTTTAAAGTTGTCCAAACACACTCGAGTTTTCTTTACTCTCTCAAATTCCACACATACTTACTCAAAATCTTATTTAACCCCTAAATTCCACCTTGCAAAGTCCTAACAATGGCTTCAATTGCACTTCGATCTCGCGTTTTATCAATACTACTGAGAAATAGGAAACCTGATCGGCAACTTTTTAGCTCAAACATAGGCAAAGAGTCTATCATCTCCTCTCAATCTATCATTCCAGATCAAGCCGCAGAAACGGTAGTGCAGGAAGCTGAGCCAGCAGCTGAGGTTGCAGCCTCGGGCTCAGAGAAGAAAGGTTGGAGTTTTTTGAAGTATGGGATTATTGCTTCTCTCACTGGAGCTGCTGGTTATGCTAGTTATGCAACATATGGTTTGTTTTAATTTTTTGTTTTGGTTAAATGAATTTGCAAATGCATTTACTTGATTATCTAAGATTAATTTGATTCTTCGATTATTGAATCTTAATAATTGAAACCAATGTTACTTTGTTGATATTTTGCAGCTTATTCATTGGATCAAGTGGAGGAGAAAACAAAGGTATTGAGAGAAGCTGCAAACTGTAAGGCTGGTGAAGATGCATCCTCCACTGAGGTTACTCTAATTCAAAGTTTTGTCTATGTCTAATATTAGGCTGGCTTCATTTCTTTAACCATCTTTTTGAGGAATTAAGTCTAGTGGTTGTTGAATTATCCTTACAATAATACTTGAAAAAATGACACAAAATTAATGACCTTTAATAATTTTCTTGTGCAGAAGTATCAGGCTTTGCTCTATTCTGCTGTGATGACAGGTGAAATCCCCTACCATTTTGTCTCTGCAAGCTTTGTTGTGATATTTATTGATAGTAGGGTGTATATATATGTGAAAATTAATACTTTGCTTAATTTATCCTAATAATTAAATACTCTACTGTATTTTGTCAACTAAACTAATTGAAATGTGGATCTGTTTAGATAAAAAGTTTGATGGTAAAAAATCATTCTTGGCCATGTATTTAACAAATTCAAAGTAAGGAATTGAATCCAATTTAATTGTTTAGAAATGAATGGATTTTATTTTATTTATATATTTATTTTCAAGATACGTGTTCCTCTTACTATTGCAATTTTTTTTAATCGAGATTGCAGTTGTACCAGTTTCAAGAATCTCCAAATTGGACTTATCCTATAGGTAACAAATCATTTAAATGACTTGTTGCCTGTATAATAAGTTTTAGTTGGAGCTTCTTGAAAATGATACTACTTTAATCTCGGTTCAAAAACTTCCAATACCATTGATAATGATATTGTGCTGTACTTTTATTGCATTCTTGCGAAATACCATTTCACTTCTAATTTGATTTTTTAATATCATTGGCATAACATGATGTCATTTGTCTGCCTATGATATGTCAGTTCCTGCTAAAGCGGTTGAACTCTATTTGGACCTGAGGAGGATGATTGAAGAGCAAGTTAAAGTGAGTCTAATAATGCTATGTGCAGCATCTTATATTAAAATCCATTTTTCTTCATTTATTACTATTTTGAATTTTATTTGCTCTATGTAGGGTTTTACTGAACCTACCTCAGATAAGCTTCTGCCTGATTTGCATCCCTCCGAGCAACATGTTTTTACTCTTGTTTTGGATCTTAATGAGACGATAATTTACAGTGATTGGAAGGTAAGGCCTCTAGTGGGGAAATGATTTTGGCTAGCATCTTCTGACCTTTTTCATGATAAAATTTGAAGCTTTTTAGATGTCATTTATTCTTATAAAATTCATTTGGTTCCGGTATATTGTCTCACAAGTAATGGCTTCACATTGTCAAATTCTGTTTAACCCTCTGGTGTCTGTTTCTGTTTTGCATAGGAAATTTAGAACTCACAGTTAGTCTTGTCAATATGTGCATGAAGAATCTATATCTGATATGATTGAGAGAATGATTCTTCTTTTCTGGCATGTACAGCGTGATAGAGGCTGGCGGACTTTCAAAAGGCCGGGGGTCGATGACTTCTTGCAACACCTTGGAAGGTTATATGAAATTGTTGTGTACTCTGACCAGCTGAATATGGTAATGTTAATCCATATTAGGTCACTTCACTCCCTAGTCTGTTTCTGTTTTGCATAGGAAATTTAGAACTCACAGTTAGTCTTGTCAATATGTGCATGAAGAATCTATATCTGATATGATTGAGAGAATGATTCTTCTTTTCTGGCATGTACAGCGTGATAGAGGCTGGCGGACTTTCAAAAGGCCGGGGGTCGATGACTTCTTGCAACACCTTGGAAGGTTATATGAAATTGTTGTGTACTCTGACCAGCTGAATATGGTAATGTTAATCCATATTAGGTCACTTCACTCCCTATTTTCGTTTGACCTTGCTCCTAATACCTCAAATTCATTTTCATTATGAGTTCATCTGTATTTTTTTTTTTTTTTTTTTTAATATGGTAATGTTAATCCATATTAGGTCACTTCACTCCCTATTTTCAGTTGAGCATGGTCCTATATTCTTCAAATTCACTTTCATTTTTTTTTTTTTTTTTTTGTGCAGTTTGTTGATCCTGTTGTTGAAAGGTTGGACACCAACCACTGTATACGATATAGGCTATCAAGGGGTGCTACCAAGTATCAGGATGGCAAGCACTTTAGAGTATGTATTTTTTATTGCTTTCTTTGGGCCGTTCCACCACAAAATGTTTTCGTTCATTTGCACTGATTGCCTGAAATGTGTATTTGAAATGCATCTTACATTTGATTATATGTTTGAAATTGTCGGATTCTACTAGTTTCTGGTTTTTATTGACTACTGTTATGCTTGCCCATTCTCTTAATTGGTTTTGCGGTATTTTAAAGCAAATTTCAGCATATCTTATCGTGATGGGCATTGAAATTCTATTGCTTGTCCAGCTCCCTTGTGTGCTTGCTTATTGTATCACAAAGGATCTGGCTTCGATGTTGATGTATTGCCTTTCAAGAATTACCATTCACAAATTCATGTCAAATTTGTTATGGAATTACTTGTCTGGCAAATGATAAGTAGCTGAAATTCTGATTCAGTTCCTTGTGTGCAGTTTGCTTAGTGGAAGTGTTTTTTTTAGCTATTCTAGTGTCATTAGCATGGTTTCACTAGTTAGTTGAATGGCATTATTTTGCACAGCAAATATTACTTAGAGCCAGAATTTCCCGAACACTTAATTTATGTTGCTTGCTCTGTAATGTGCTGCATAGAGAATGAGGAGATGAACAAGAAAGTTCATGTGTTTTTCACTTGTATATAATGTTTGTATATTTGGTTTCAGTTCAAAAAATAAGGGAAGAATTAAACAGAGACAATTTTGTCACTAAATGAAACAATTAACTCCCAGATTTTTTTCATTGGCATTTCTTCCCCTTTTGGTTCATCATCTGCTATTATAATTATTAAAATGCATCATTGGATGATAGCTTAATTTCACTTATAGCTACTAAAATTAATACCAAGATTTCTTCGGTCACCTAAATTCAACTGGTTATGGAAAAATAACTAAGGCTCTTAGTGGGTTCCAATTGGAGCTAAAATTTGGCCACTAACAGGTGGATGAGGGCTGATGAGGCATCATTTTTTAAATTTTTTTAATATATCTAAAATATTTTGTTAGCCCTAATCATTCTCTCTCTATAACTCTTCCTCTTCGACACTCACTTTCCAGGTTAAAAAACCAAAAGTTCTAGAAACAATTTAGAACTAGGCATCAGGTTAGGATCTACAAACTGATAAAAATGCTTTGAGAGCCGCGTGTTAGCACATTCCAATTGAAATCCATGATTGCGGTTGGGAACTAGCCTCATTGGTACTCACTCATCTTGAACGTGTTGCAAGACAATTCTGTTTGCTAATCTGCCTATTTTCCAGGTCAAGCAAGATGTAGGAAAAGTTCTAGAGGGGCAGAATGGTTAGGTACCACTGAAGAGTTGAGTTGTATTAAATTCAAAAATAATGCCATGCAGCCTCATTCACTGGTTTGTTCTGGATTAGGTCGTAGTGTCTTAATGAAGTCCACAAAGACTTCTAATTATTTTTCTTTGACCAATTGAGTTTTTGTACCACGGAGTGACTTGGTGATAAATTTAGAGAACATAGGTGAAATTAAGCCTTGTTAGTGATATCATGTTTAGTGTCGGCACTTGCCAGAAAAAGGTATAGTCTGTGTTTGCAGTGACTTTGGATGATTTTTTTTCCCCTGATGCAAGCTTATTTTATTTTGTTTATTTGTAATAAATACTTCCTGTTGTTCTAGAGCCGTCACTTTGTGAAACTGATAATTCTATTTGATGTTAAATGTTATTTTCAGGATCTTTCAAAACTCAATAGAGATCCAGGTAAGATCATATATGTGAGTGCTCATGCATTTGAAAACAGCTGATGCAAGCTTATTTTATTTTGTTTATTTGTAATAAATACTTCCTGTTGTTCTAGAGCCGTCACTTTGTGAAACTGATAATTCTATTTGATGTTAAATGTTATTTTCAGGATCTTTCAAAACTCAATAGAGATCCAGGTAAGATCATATATGTGAGTGCTCATGCATTTGAAAACAGCCTTCAGCCAGAGAATTGTGTCCAAATCAAGCCATTTAAGATTGATGAGAAAGGGGAAGAATCTGTGGATACAACACTTTTGGATCTCATTCCCTTTCTTGAATGTAAGTAAATGTTATAATTTAGTTTAAATGTTTGTGATACTTTGTTATTTGCACCTTGAGGGGCAAATCAATTTTCTCGAATGGGTGTATATAAAAGGACAAATGCAATCTCTAACATAAACAGTTAATATGTAGTTCCGTTCTGGTATGCATGCAGATGTTGCTCGTGCAAGTCCAGCTGATATCAGACAAGTGCTAGCATCTTATGAAAGGCAGGATATTGCAAAAGAGTTCAAGGAACGTTCCAAGGAAACTCAGAAGTGAGTTACATTCTTGCTTGCCTATCATTTATGCCTGGTTTGAGTTTTACCAAATTTTGTATGGGAAGCCAAATAATGAGATTTTAATTTTGTTAAATTGATGTTCCAGGCGAATGCAAGAACAGAGGCATCATCAAGGTTTCTTCTTCAGACGTTGAGGTTGGGACTAATGTTCGAATTTTTAGGAGATTTATTCGAAGCTGCTGCTGTTGAAAGCATGAAGCCTTTTTTATTCTTATCAAGAAGCAGTTTTGGGTAGAAGATCATAAATTTTTTATGAAATCACTCTCTTCCTCATTTTTAAGTCGTGGGCATGAGATATGTCATTTTTGCCATACAACAAACTAAATATATACATACAATCGAGTATTTGGGCTATCTATTTTACTTTTTTACATTAACAATGGAAAAAAAAAAATTACATGATCAATTTTGGGTGCCCTCTTCCTCATTCTCTTGCTGGTGTAACCTATCAAAGGTTCAGAAGTTTGGAGAATCCATCAACTGTACATATTATGATTTGTGAATGCTGATAATTTCTTTGTTAGAAATGTGTCAAATTTGCCAACAAAATGCTAGTGGTTATTTATTTATTTATTTTATATCTTTTCTTTTCATTAATTGAAAATTAGGTTAGTCAATAGATTTCCATTTGTGTTCATACTTCTTCAGACTGGGAAAGAAAAGACAAAGCGAAGACTAATAGTTGATAGAGTCATCTGGTGGGGAGACTCTTCGGCCTAGTTGCGTTGATTAGCCGGAGCGTCGTTGTCCCTAACTCCAAATCCGTGGAATTGGACTATTGGAGTGTTAAATACGAAGCCTCCACTACGCCAACTTGCTTGACGGTAACGCTAATCTGAACTCTGAAGTGTGTAATATGGATCCACCTTTAATTTTATTTTTCACACATGATGTTAGATACCAACCAGTGGTCCTTCCTTTCTCTCCCAAATCAAATAAAATAATAGTACTTTTTATTATTTTCTTCAATTATTTATTTCTTCCTCTATTTTACCTTTAAAAATATTGTTTTAGGTTCCTATTAAAAATATAATTACCTTAGATTAATTTAAATAAATTAGTGAAGATTTATTATTTGATGTAATAGCAACTGTAATTAATCACAGTTCTCATAAATTCAATAATTGTAATTATTATTTTTAATATTTATCAATTATCTTTTTTTATTTTGAATAAAATAATTTTTGAACCACACGAAAGACAATTATAAAGAAATGAGAGAGAAAAGATTCTCAACGTCTCTTCAGTTGATGCAGGCCTGCAGAATTGGACAATCGTTGTTTGTCTTCTTCTTAATTTATATTTTTTTTTTTAAAAAAAAAAAGAGAAAAAGATAAAAGGAACTTCCATCAAGCTTAAAATTGGCCAATATATGGTAATGGCACAGCAAAATAAATAAATAAATAATTTAGCAATTTACAATATTTAACTTTTCTTCTAATGAAAAAAAAATCAAAAAATCTTCTCTATGATTGGCTACTGATGGAAACTTCTTGAAACCTTCTTTGTTCTCACTGGGGATTGAAAAAAGATGTCTATTATATTATCATTATTGAACTTTCAGATAACAAAATTCATTATTTTGATCGAAAATAATAAATTCACTGTTACTAATTTTTATGCTATAGAAATAACTTCACTTTATTATTTAATATTTCCCTGAAAAACATATAAATTTATCTTTATATTTTTTATAAAAATTTTTTATAAAACCTTCAACTTTTATTTAACTAATAGAATCTCTAAAATATTAGAATTATTGAAAACCCTTTAACTTGACTCGCAAAATACTTTAACTAGTAGCATTGAATGGATTAAAAATTTACCGAAAAGTTTAAAAATGTGAAAATTATCATTCCTAACATTATGTAAATATATATTAAATTATTATTTTACATATAAAAATCAAACTTTAAAAATTATTAGGTTAGTGCACGACTAAAATCTTAAATGATTTTTTTTTTTTTTACCAAAAAAGGACTAACGTTCCGATTTAAGACGTCTTCACCGATCTCCGAGTATTGAGTAATGACGGGAGATGCTGTCCCATTCCGGTAGGATCGTAGCATTACAGGTCCTCGGCCCATGATAATAAAGCCCGGTCTAACGCGGCCCAGTGGGCTGTGGCTACCAGGCAGCAGAGTCTTGAACGATGGTACTGTGATTTATGTAATTTGACATGCAAGTAACTTTTTTTTTAATTTCTTGTTGTCATGGCAGTTGGAAATTGGAAATCTTTAAGCTTATCAAATTTTCGAGGACCATGGAGTGAATAACTAACGATGACCTGTCTGTTTGTACTAATTTTTCTCTGTCCCCTTCCTTTCAGTACAATTCTCTTTCTCCTTATTTCTTTTTGCAGTACAAAAACACGACAAAAACTTCTCTTTCTTCCTCGTCTATATATGCATTTTGCATCTCTATAGATGGGAGGGAAACCCCATTTCCACGTTGGATTCTCTTTCCAACTCAGTTTCTTCTGATACCCATGTCTCGTTTTCTCTTCTTTCTTTCCCTTTTCCTGTCTACACTCCTCCTCGCCACCGCTCACGGAGGCAGCGGCCATGAAGACGATGCAGATGCCGATTCTGGTAGTGATGCTCCGGTCAATCTACGGGCCAAGCCCTTAATTTTAGTGAAAATATGGTGTTTGATTTTGATATTTATAGGGACTTTGGTTGCTGGAGTTTCACCATACTTTATGAAGTGGAATGAAGGGTTCTTGGTTTTGGGTACTCAGTTTGCCGGTGGGGTGTTTCTGGGGACTGCTCTGATGCATTTTTTAAGTGATGCAAATGAGACTTTTGGGGATTTGACTAGTAAAGAATACCCTTTTGCTTTTATGTTGGCTAGTGCTGGCTATTTGATCACTATGCTTGCTGACTGTGTTATTTCTTATGTTTATGGGAAGGGAAGCAATGAGGTTAATGGTGATTTAGAGCTTCAAGGTCAGTTTTTAAATTTATTTGAGTTCTGTTCTGTTTTTGGCATTCTTTAGACTAGTTCTGTTCTGTTTCATGTAAAATGATTTGGTAATTAAATAATTTTATCTTGATTGATTTTTAATTTAGGTGTTTGATTTAGTACTTCTAACATGTATGGCACTAATGAAAAATCTGCGTACAAAAATTAAATTGCAAAATTTGTGGTCTATTACTAAAAAAGATTGTTTTTTTTTTTTAATATTTTAGCTAAAAGCTGACAAGCCCTTAAATTTTCATTTTCTAATTAAAAAATTTCTTGTATTGTTGGTGAAAAAATATAATCTCTCCGCCTCAAAATTATAATTTAGTTTGATTTTTCATATGGAGATTAAAAAAAAGTGATTTTGAATCAAATTTTTTTATATTAATTTATTAATTTTACACTTGTCATAATTTTAGCAGAAAGTGACACAAAAACTATGGTGAATTTATTTAAAGAGTATTCTGAAGAAAACAAATTTGTTATTACCATTTTTTTTATAAAAAAAAATGCAAAATTTATTTTGGTACATATCAAATTATCACGGGACAGTTGTGTTTTCCTGTTGATTTGTGTGGAACAGGAATTTTTGGTTTGAACTAAAAATCCAAGAAAACTGACTTTTCTTATAATTAGTAATTTGAAGATGACACTTTGTTGAAACTTAGCACCAATATAAAAGTCAGTCATGAACTAACTGTTCTCCATTAATTCTTTTGATCCATATCCTTCACCAACCAACTATAATGAGATTGATGTTATAATGGCTCCTCTGAATTTCCTAATACCTTGTGCTTTTCTTCTCTGCAGATAATGTTCAGCGTGGAAAAACAAATCAACAAGAAACTTCACATTCACATTTTGCAACTGTTAGTTCATTTGGTGACAGCATTTTGCTTATAGTAGCTTTGTGTTTCCATTCAATCTTCGAGGGGATTGCGATAGGAGTTGCAGAGACAAAAGCTGATGCTTGGAAAGCATTATGGACAATAAGTCTGCACAAATTATTTGCAGCAATTGCAATGGGAATAGCTCTTCTTCGGATGATACCTGATCGCCCCCTTTTATCGTGTGTCGCCTATGCTTTTGCATTTGCCATATCAAGTCCAGTTGGGGTGGCTATTGGGATTGTTATAGATGCAACAACTCAAGGTAGAGTTGCAGACTGGATTTTTGCCATATCTATGGGACTGGCTTGTGGAGTGTTTATTTATGTAGCTATAAATCATCTGCTATCCAAAGGATATAAGCCCCTAAATGCTGTTTCAGTTGACACACCATTCTTTAGGTTGGTGGCAGTTTTATTAGGAATTGGTGTAATTGCTGTTGTTATGATATGGGACACCTGATGAAAAATGCAGAGAGATTGTTTGCTTGATTTTGGAGAAGTAGGTCTTACAGTTGGTCTCTAGATATAAAGCTTAGAAAACTGTGATATCATTCTACTAGTTTGCTAGTAAAGAGGAAATGGTTTATTGTGAACTCTCCGTGGTTCCACTTTAACAAAAGAATTTTATTTTGTTCCCTCTGAAGTGGTTATTTAGAATTTTGAAAGTATATTTTTTCAATTTTACGTATTTTTATTTGATTTAATTTATTTTTATACTTACATTTATTTTTTTAATCATTATTTTAATTGTAATTATATAAAATTTTAACTACACACCTATCTAAAAATAAAATGAAAATACCACTCTAACGGGAAAATAAAATGTTAAAAATGTTACTATTAGCATAAAACGGAAGGGGTGTGCTTTTCTTGAATAGCAACATCACAAAATAGAAAATCTGAAGTTAAATTAGATATTTCATTCTTTAAATGAAAATGATCTCAACATCATCTCAAAAAAAAAAAAAAAAAAAAAAAAAAAAAAAAAAAAAAAAAGAAAATGAATACTCAAACAATTCATCTCAAAAAAAAAAAGAAAAAAAAAAAAAAAAAAAAAAAAAAGAAAGGTAATTAAAATTTATTGCAGCATGATAGTAAACAATAGACGCCTAGTCTCGAATTGTTCTAGATGTAACAGGCTTCTATGAACATGCCGGCGGTACAAGACTGCATTATGTTGCAAAAAAAAAAAAAAAAAAAAAAAAAAAAAAAAAAAAGAAAGTAAAAATTTATGAGCAGATAGTAACAATAGTCTCGAATGATTCTAATCAACAGCTTTATGAAACATCCTGGCTACAAGACCTGCATTATGTGCCTTCCAAGACATTTTTTGTCAATTGGAAGTCTCTGAAATTGCAGAATCGTATCATCAAGTAGTGGAAAATTTTTTGAAAAGCCAATCAAGTTAGAAGCAGGTCCAAGAAGCACATCAAATGATATATATTGCAACTGCTCTAAAGGTCGGTATGAAGAGCTTTTTCAAGACAAAATGAAACAACTATTGGCCCGGCTAAATCCCCAACAGCACAGCCTGAAGAAAAAAAAAATCCAAATATTAGGTCAAGAGATCACAAGACGTTTAGCAAGAGAACAAAATGTCCAGCAAAGCTTACCAATCCATTGGCCTACTGAAGGACGAATTAGGGTTGCGCCAATCCCTGCCCCAATGGAAGCAAAAACTAGTGATGCACCACACCTCAGAGTAACACCACAGATCTTCTTACCGAGAATGATAGCTTGTTCCGGTTTATCAACCTTATCATTTTCTTCTTCGGTAATTGCTAGCTGAGAAAAGAATCGATAAATTTCAATTCCAACTTGTACGAGCCATGATGCAGCAACTCCTAAAAAGTGACCTGCTTAAACATACAGAAATGGAGCAAAGTAAGCCAGAAGCACAGAAGTTAGCTGAAAACACGATCAAATCGAATACAAGGGATAGAATTTGTGACCTCTAAAAGTTGTCCTGCTAACCCTGAACAAGTATAGAATAGTAGGCATTCCCCTTTCAGCTTTACGCACAGCTGATTTTGGAACATCTGTAAAAAGTGGCCCCAACCATTAGATGCTAATAAGCTCAAGTTAAAAAACTGGTAGATTCTAAAGTTAGAATTACTGTTCTCAAGAAAAACCCGGACAATTGATATTTAATTGCTTGTGCTCACAATTAGGTGAAGTAATAAAATATCATAGTGAGTATATTTGTGAAAGTGTCTTCTAAAATTTCACATTGATTATGTTACTGGAGCATACCTTTTAGAAGTTTCCAAGCCATCCGCTGGGAACAATAATGCACAGCAAGTCTTTCTAGAACCCGTCTTGTGGTTACAACTGTAGTCTGCGAAGGAAAATGACACAATTCAGTTAATTTCTCCTTGAATACTTCAAATACCGTAACAAACTAGTAAAAGAACTAAACTTCCATAAAACCGATTCATTGATTAATTGTTTGGTAAAGGTGGGTGCAAAATAATATCAACATCTCAAATTAATAATCTGAACATTGAGAAAGCAAAATCAGGCTGATAAGTGACAACCAACGGTTACAAACTTGGATGTACTGAAGCCAGAAAGAGCCACAGAAACACACAAGGATTATAAGTGTTAGAAATTAAGATGCAAACAAAATAAAAACACCATTATTTACCAAAAAGGCAGTATATCTTCATCAAGAAAAGGTTCATATTAAAATAACACCAAAGAAAATAAATTCAGATATAGTAAGGCAAATGCCACCAATCAAAAAGATCAATTGTTCATAATAGGGAAAAATTAGACCATGTCTCGCCTAATATGATGATCACAATTCTATGTCCCGATATTACTACACTCAAAACTCCAAGAGAATTTTTCTGTGAATCCAATGATATATTAGTTGCTGTAACCACCACCCTGTTTGGCAATTACACCAATGTAAATACCAATTACAGAGGACATGTTGATTGAGATTTATTAGAAATCTAAAAATTGCAAAAAAATCTCATGAAATTGAGAAGTAGCCAATAGAACTCACCTCACGAACAATTTGCTTCACTGATTTTTGGAAGGGTACAACCAAGTCTACTTTGCGGTCATCTTCATGAGCATCCTGCAGAAAGTCATCATCATCCTCTTCTGTAATTGAAGCAGGCTCCAGAAGAGGCAAGTAGAATAGCAAAAATGACCTCAAGGATGTCATGGCTAGTTGCTTCCATTCAAAAGCTGATAAGAGAGGTTTTAACTCTATGTAGTACTCCTTGGTTGTGTATTTGAGTGAATCATGTTGAAAAATATTACTGGACGCTTTTCGTATATTTGAAATGTCAATATCAGACAATACTGCACCAGCATCGCAATGAGCAACTTGGGCCCCAGAAAACCTGTCGACGCAGTAAAGAGAGTCAATTTACAATCAGGCCTTAAGTCAATCTAGAATGAAATGAAAAAAGATGGTAAAAACCATCACACAGTTTCTGAAAGTTTCAGACTCGAGAATATCATATCCTACTATGCTTCTGGGAACTAGATAAACCAAAAGGAAAGATAGCTGACATAATTTAGGAAGTAAACTCAGTCATGGACATTCCTTTTCTAATAAAGAAAAAATTCATATGCGTTGTTTAGGACCCTAGCAGATAATACAATCTACAGTATCTAGGTCAGAAAATGAGCAATGAAAATAATCATCTCAAAGACTGGTCACCAAATTCTGAAAAACAATAGATAAAATAGAATCAAAATAAAAGACTGACCAGCAAAAGCTGAGATTGCAAAATATATTCAAAATCCAGTACCCACATGTTACAACATATTAATCAAAGCCGTAGTTCAGCTAGTGAGATTATGAGCAATCAAGCTAGATAACCAATTATCCTAATCAATTCAATATGTACATGCTCAATCCGTATCAAGCATACCAAATAAAATTATATACAAACACATTATATTATATGGAGCAAGGAAAGAGAAGATACCCGAATAAGAACCTAGAAGCAAAAGGTGTACTGGCAGCTGCGATAGAGGCAGCTGCGGCGGAGACAGTCGCTGAGGCGCAGAACTGGGGTGAACAAAAGTTGGGATTTTTCCTCAATAGATCTAATATTATTGCCACACCCGCCATTACTATTTGCTCTAAAACAAATCGAAAAGACAGAACAGAAACTCTCCGGCTACAATCTAATCATAAAAAGAAAGAAAGAAAGAAAAGAAATACAAAAAACAATTGAAAGATGGATACTTCAATATGCTCTCTACAGCTAAGTAATTTTTCTCGGGAAAAGTAACAGTGGGTTGATTTGTTTAAGGATAAGATTTGAGACACCAAAAAGACTGGATTTTTATTGCAGAGATTATCGGTTAGAAAGAACTGTAGAAGGGTTCCTGGATCAATTGTTGTACTAATTAGTTAAATGAAGGGTCATATTATAGACCTGAGCCGCCCCTTTGATTTTGTTCGAGTTCTGTTCGGAAACTTTGTAAATCCAAACAACTTTTGGTTTCCTTTTGTGGGGTGAAATAATGTGGTTATAATTTTTCATTTTAATATACATATAGTTCTTTTAAATTATTCTATTATTATTAATTAAGTCTTAATATAATCACATCAATATTTAATCTTTCATTACAATTTTATTTAATTAATTTCAAAAATAATTTTATAAATATTAATATAAGGGTATATTGGAAAAAATAAATAAATTTAACTAATCAATATGTAAATTAAACCATGACACAGGTTATGAGAGTGTGAATAATAAAAATTGCCATTTCTATTATCTCTGTTCTCTGTTTGTTTGTATCTTTATTTATTCTCTGAGTGAGTCAGTGAGTGAAAAAAAAAAAAAAAAAAAAAAAGTAAATTAAACCATGACACAGGTTATTTGAGAGTGTAATTAATAAAAATTGCCATTTCTATTTATATCTGTTCTTGTCTTTGTTTGTATCTTTTATTTATTCTCTAGTGAGTCGCTTGAGTGAAAAAAAAAAAAAAAAAAAACAAACCCTACCGGGTGCAGACCCTACCAATCTCGTTTCCAAACCAGTTATGACAAACTAGAAACTTCGTTTCTCTCCCTCACCTTGTTTCTTATTTCACAAAATCACATTGCAAATGAATTTCACGAATTTCAACCACTACGAAAAAAAAAAAAAAAAAAAAAAAACAAACCCTACGGTGCGACCCTACCAATCCTCGTTTCCAAACAGTATGACAAACTAGAAACTTCGTTTCTCTCGCTCACTTGTTTCTTATTTCACAAAATCACATTGCAAATGAAATTTCAGAATTCAACCACTACGATCTCAATTAGCCAATTTACATAGTTATCAAATTCTCGGGGGGTTTTTTTAGGGTTTTGATTCTTCGGGGAAAAGAGGAGATGAATTTGGGAGATTTGCACAAAGTATGGGAAATCAAAGCCCTAAAGAAACCAGGAGAAGAAGAAGCCAAGAAGATGCTTGAGAAAATAGCCAAACAAGTCCAACCCATTATGCGTAAACACAAATGGCGTGTCAAGGTCCTCTCCGAATTCTGGTACTTCACTTTTTATTTTTTTTATTTTTGGGTTATTGAATCATGAAGTTCGTTGCTTTTCTATTATTTAAATTTGATTGACGAAAGCATGAACTTTTACTTTAAGCTTAATTATTGATTTGGTTTGTTTTTTCAATGTGAACTATTTATGTTGTTCCAACTTCAAATTTGATTGGTGAAATATGCATGGAAATGGAACTGCAGTCCAAATAACCCAGCTCTTCTGGGGCTGAACGTAGGAGGTGGAGTGCAGGTGAAATTGAGGCTTCGTAGGCCAAACAGAGATTGGGACTTCTTTCCATTTGATCAGGTCCTGGATACTATGCTTCATGAACTATGCCACAATGTTCACGGTCCTCACAATGCCAATTTCTATAAGCTTTGGGATGAGTTGAGAAAGGTGCTATATGTTTTGCCCTGAATTTATTCAATCATACACTAATGTTGTGTTATGATGCTTGTAGAACTGGTACTAATTATTTGATTATTATTGTTTTTAAGTTATAATTTATCAGATTAGGGCAATCCATGTGCTCTTTTTGCTTTGTTCATTTTTTTTTTTTAAACTTTTGCTGCTCTTAACAGGAATGCGAGGAGCTGCTTTCCAAGCGAATAAGTGGCACGGGCGAGGGATTTGATCTTCCAGGGAGGCGTTTGGGTGGGTTTTCCCGCCAGCCTCCTCTTTCTTCTCTACATAAAACTGCCTTAGCTGCTGCAGAAAAAAGAGCAAAAATGGGAACTATTCTACCATCTGGACCCCAACGGCTTGGTGGTGATAGCACCATTATGGTTGCACTCAGTCCAATACAAGCTGCAGCGATGGCTGCTGAAAGGAGGTTGCAGGATGAGATATGGTGTGGTTCTCAATCTGCTGAGGTTTATGAGGATGGAGAATGTAGCACATATATGGCCGAAAACCTTGATAATAAGTGGCAAACTGCAGGAAGCTCAAGGCCAGATAATGGTAAAAAAAGAGGTCTTGAACCAAATAACAGTAGTATCATAGATTTATCTACAGATGTTTCACTGTCTGGATCAATTTTTGTCCATGGCACCAACCCTAAAAAGAGAGCTTGTAACTCGTTTAAGAATTCATCTTGTGATTCTAGTTTTGTGGATTTAACTGGTGGTTCATCTCTAGGGTCCATTCCTACTCATGATATGACTCATAATCCGGAGGAACATGCAATGTGGGAATGCAGAGCCTGCACATTATTGAATCCAGTAAGTAATTGAGTATGGGTTAAAATGTCATCTTTTTTTTTTCATTATTTTGTGGCTATATTTTCATTGGAATATATGATGGGTGCATTTGATGTCACAGTGCATTATACATACTATAAAGCTTGAACATACATGGCGTTTTAACTTCTGTGGTTACTCTATCTGCTACTTATAGTATGTTTCTTTTGACTTTGGGTATGTAAAGATTTGAATTGTTTGGTTTTTGAAGACGTTTACACTTGGCATTTATTCTGCTTAGAATTAAAGTTTCTTGTCTTCTGTTTAGAGGCACCGGAGATTTTCCTTGAAATGGGAAGAGAGCTTTATGCTAAACATTATAATTAGAGATTTTCTTATTATACATACTAAGATTATTCTCATTTAATCATAGTAAACGTCATCTTAAGACACACATACACATCTATTCTCCTTTTCCCATGCTTCCTTTCTATATAGATGTTACAATAAACTAATGGGCCCCGAGAAACCATTATTGGATTCCTTCTTATGAACATTTTACTCTTTAACACTCTGTATATTCATTGAATGCATAGCATGCTGAAGTCTAAAATACAAATAATGTATTGAGGTTGTTTTTACCCTTTTTTTTCTCTAAAAAAGAAATAAAATCTTTCTGTTCCCTTTCCTTGCTCTCTCTGCCTCTGCATTTTCCACTCCATGCTCATTCTGTTTCTACGTTGCAAGTGAATATATCTCTTCTTCCTTTGAGTGGTACTTCTTAAAGGAACTAACAAGAATGTTTTGCACGTGAATAATGCTGGGTCGATGCAGCCGTTAGCCCCAGTTTGTGAGCTTTGTTGCACAGAAAAGCCCAAAGATGCAAGTACCAAGTATAAAACATGGTCCTGCAAATTTTGTACTTTGGAGAACAGTATTAAGTTAGAGAAATGCTCAGCTTGTAGCCAGTGGAGATATTCATATGGTCCACCAGTGTCAACTCCGGCACCCAATCTTGGCACTTGAGAGGTACAATCTAAGCAGATGGTCTGTGAACTACTATCCCAATCAATTGATCATTCTGATGAATGATCAATTTTTGGCAATGCCACATAACTCTGTTTTGTTTAATGAAAAGATCAGCACTATTTCGTCAGATTGACAAAGTATACATTTGTGTAATTCTCTCTCCATTTTTCTGAATTCCCAAAAGGTAATTTTGTCCCGATTTATTCTTATTTTGCAAGTCTAAACTGAAGGGATTGATGAGGTGGGATGGATCATGAGCTTGGAATTGGAGTAAAATTATCCTCCAAAAGATACAATGAATAATTAATTGAAAAGGTAAATTATATATTAAATTTTTCATGGGAAAAAAGAGAGCAAGTTTACATAATTAATATTTAACTGTAAATTAAACCATGAATTAACTAAAGAAAGAGCCTACCTAAAGCCAAAAAGGGATGAATAAATTAGAACTATTTTTCCTCAAGCAAGTTAGTTACTGGACAACAGGGCATCCCTTAGCAACAATTCCAGGAGCAGTAGGGCATTTTGCCAAGGGACAGTGGTCAGTTCCATCCAGACCCCACCACTGAGGACCATAGATGTTCTGAGATTGAAGGGCAAAGAAGATTACTATTCCCATGAAAGCAATACCAGCATCTAAACCAGCTGATAAAATATAGTTATGCCTTGCCCACCATCTCTTGTACTTTCTGTATACATAAAAGTTAAAGAATAATCCAACAGCTCCCCAAGACCAGTAATGCACAGGTCCAGCTGGTGGCATACTTATTGTGGCTGATAAGAAAATAGGCATATGAATAAGCTTTATCCATTTCTTCTCAGGAAATTTGCGAGTCAATAACCATACTGGAATTGGGGCAACCGCACCTATCAGGAAGAACCAATTCAACTGAGAGTAGACACCTAACTTCCCAAACATTCTGAGAGGGCCTATCACTCCCCATATGATTGATGCATTGTAAAAGACATCGTCGCCGGGGCATGTCCATGGACTTCCATCTGGTAATAAATCTGGGAGACATATGTTTTCAACAGTTGACAGAAGCCACCATGCCGTCGCAAAGTAGACAGTTGAACCAACTATTGTTCCAACTAACTGTACAATTATTTCATACATTGGAATTAAACTAGTAGGAGAACAAATAAGTTAATTGATTGATGCATTACAAAATTTACCTGAACAAGAAACATTGATTTCGGAGGTATTTTCATATAATGTCCTAACTTGAAATCTTGCACAAAGGTCAGGGCTTGACTCATGCTGATGTAACCATATGTCTTGAAAGTCACATTTGCAAGAGGCTTCCCGGGATATATATATCCGATAATCAATTCTGTGATCACATTTAGCCCCATTTGCTGTCAAACATTACAATTTTATATTAGGATTTAGCACAATTTGCTAGAAATATTTAAATTGTGTTATGAAATTACAGTACCATGTTTGTTGTGGCCTGAACAACACCAATAGGCAGGGTGAAAAAAAGAGCAATCCCACAAGCTAGGAGAAGCCCCCACCATGGAAGTTGTAATTGTTTATTAAAACCTTCTACTGCTAAAAGGCTTAGAGCCACAGATATAACCAAGATTGTCACAAACCACCATTGAGGGACTTCTTCATAGTTCTTCTTCATTAATCTTGTATGCACATCAGTAAATTGATCTTTCAATGCACCAGCAGTCTTCCTCCACATATTCCAAATTGTCCTATGTTGATTCATTGTTTTTATAAAGAAAATAGTTAGCCCAAGGAAAGGATTGTAACAGGAAATCTAAAGAGGAAGTTTGACTAAAAAAACTTACTTTCCTTCGAAAAGTAGGACATGTGAAATAGTAGCCGTCAGAGATGCAAAACTGAGTCCATAATTGATTGCAAATAGAACACTGAGATAAAGCTTGCTGTAATTGTTATAAGCATCTAGATTAACGTCGAAATTTTTCTGATTCAGAATTCGAGTAATATTGTATATCTGACCAGCGTTGTCAAATGTACGAGAGGAAAAAATGGGGAATTTTTTAGCATCATATGTATTACTCCAATATAAACTAGGCACAATTATATACTGAACCACGAAAAAACCAGCAAGAGTGTTTGCAATTGCAAACAAAGGCATGGCCAGAGGAGTCCCCAAGAAGGAAGCAACAGTTGACCAGTCAAGGCCAAAGGAGACAATACCGAGCCCTTTTCGCCCTGAACCAATCTGTTGAGCAGTGACAGAGTCCTTCCATATCCAACAAATGAAGGAGATTGTAGATATGGAAGGGAAAAGGTAGCCTGGAATGATATAGTATGCATAGCTTGCTATGAAAACGATAGTAAAGAATTGTAGCCTAGTAAGTCTTCCTTTTGGCCTCTTCTCCTTGTCATTTAATGCCCTGCAGTTCCAATTCCAATCAGGGGATAGAATCAAGTATATTTAGAAACAGGTTATTGTCCATTCAGGGGATAGAATCAGGCATATTTAGAAACAGGTTATTGTCCATTGCAGGGGATAGAATCATAGAAGAGAAAAGTACCTGAATAGAGAGACTTGGACAAGATTTGAGGGCCACCACATGTATGGTGAATCCACAAGTATTTTTCTGAAAATACCTGCCCATCCATACCCAAGCAACTGTAATTTTAACATAAGAACCAACAATTTGATTTAAATACACTTTCTTTAACAATAAAGCAATATACTTTAAAGTTTCTTTCTATTCTGATTTGTGAGACAAAAGACTAAAAGGAGAAGGAAAGAAAATTTTGCCTGAGTTGTTTGTACAAGCAACATAGCTGCAACAGGATGGATAGGCCTTCTGTAGAAGGCCTTAACAGCAGTAAGAATGTTCACTGCATAAACACCACTTGCTCCGCAACTTGCAAATATGGTAATCAAAACATGTTCTTTCAAAGTGAAAGGCCCTGGATTCAATGAAAATGACCATTTTGTCAATGGAATTTTAATCTGTTTTGTTGGAAGTACTTTGGCCATCAACTTTCCTAGTGGAAGAGCAATAATTTGTGCTGAAACTGCAGAAACACCTAGCGGATTTGAACGATATGAAAAGAATTGATTCACAAATGCAAGAAGCACACACGACATTATCCCAAGAACCCATGTTCTGAACGTCAATGCTGGTTCTGTAGGATCATCTCTGATTGGAACTGTTAGTCTTACTTGTTCGATTGGATTGTCATTAACTTCTTCTTCCTTATCGCCTAAAGCAACACCTGCAGCAACAACCAATCACCATGAGGTGAAATTTATTTCAGCAAATTTAGTATAAACTGCAAACTAAAATAGATTTTGTCAAAAAATAAAAAATAAAAAACTATTTTCATATTCTAGAACATAAAAATAAATAATAAATAGTAGAGAAAATTAAAAAAAGTTGCTAGATTACTATATCCCGAAACAAGGAAAATTATCTATATTTATCATTTGTTTGTATATATTTTTAATTATAACCAATTAAAATATAAAAATTCAAACATAAAATAATAATAATAAATAATAATAATAAAAGAATTAAGGATTTGGTATAGGGAGGCTAATACCTGCAATGTCGACATTGTGTTGATGATCATATGGAAGCTTAGATTGAGGGATTGCATCCTCTATGGTGGCTGCCATATCTTTGCCAAATGCCGTCTCACTCAGAAAATTCGTAGAAAACTAAACAACAAAGTGCACAATACAACAATTATATAATGGTTCTATTTTAAAGTTTTTCTCGAAGACTTAGAATTTGACAAGAACTCTGAAACATTGAGGTCCTAATTCTATCCTAATGAATTTTGCCTGCTTTCCTGACCAAATTTTATCTAGTTTACCCATACTTAACCTAACAAGATTCTACTTCTGCCTACATAACCGGAAAGAAATATTTATTATTTATCTTGTAGAAACACAAAGTGAATGCTAAGAATGCGATTAAAACTGCGGCAAGTTAGAAGGATTCTTGGATTCTGATTCCACACAGCAAGTACAACCAAAAGACGGTGAAAAAAAAAAAGATGAAATATTTACAGATGACAAGATATAGTTGCTATTAATAATTCGATACACTTAATTATAAGAGAGATTAATACATCTATTTCCCTGCCTTCCACTTATGTTTCTCTTTTGTAGGTCACTAGAAAACAGGGCATCCCTCCACAGCAATCCCAGGAGCAGTAGGGCATTTTGCGAACGGACAGTGGTCAGTTGCATCCTGACCCCACCACAGAGGACCATAGATATCCTGAGATTGAAGGGCAAAGAAGATTACTACTCCCATGAAAGCTACACCAGCGTCTAAACCAGCTGATAGAATATAGTTATGTCTGGCCCACCATGCCTTGTACTTTCTATATACATAGAAGTTGAAGAATACACCAACAGCTCCCCAAGACCAGTAATGGACAGCCCTAGCTGGTGGCATTCCTGATGTGGCTGATAAGAAAATAGGCATGTGAATAAGCTTTATCCATTTCTTCTCAGGAAATTTGCGAGACAATAACCATACAGGCACTGGGGCAAGTGCGCCTATCAGGAAGAACCAGCTGATCTTATAGTAGACACCTAACTTCCCAAACATTCTGAGAGGGCCTATCACTCCCCATATGATTGATGCATTGTAAAAGACATCGTCCCCGGGGCATGTCCATGGACTTCCCTCTGGTAATAAATCTGGGAGACATATGTTTTCAACAGTTGACAGAAGCCACCATGCTGTCCCAAAGTAGACAGTTGAAGAAACTATTGTTCCAACTAACTGTACAATTAATTCATGCATTATCATTAAACTAGCAGGAAACAATTAAGTTAATCGATATACATCTATTTCCCCTGCCTTCCACTTATGTTTCTCTTTGTAGAAGTCAACTAGAAAACAGAGGGCAATCCTCCACAGGACATCCAGGAAAGCATTGGTAGGGGGTCATTAGCGATTTACGGACAGTTGTTGTCAGTTGCATCCATAGACCCCACCAGAGGACCATAGATATCCTGAGATTTGAAAGGGCAAGGATAAGGATTACTACTACCCATGAAAAGCTTACATTCCAGCGTTCTTTAAACTCTAGCTGATTTAGAACATATCAGTTTGTTCTCGGCCCACCATGCCTCCCTGTCATTCTCTCATATACATCGATAGTTGAAGAATACACCAAACAGCTTCCCAAGACCAGTATATTGGCAGCCTGCTGGTGGGCATTCTGATTTGTGGGACTGATTAAGAAAATAGGCATCCAAGCAATACACAAATATGTATAAGTCTTTACCATCTGTCTTGCGTCAGGGAAAATTGTCGGACTTAATATACTACAAGGCTCTGGGCCAAGTGCGTCTCTATTCAGGTGAACCAGCTGATCTTATGAAGTAAGACACGCTAACTTCTCCAAATTACTTTCTGAGTGAGGAGACCATACTCACCATCCCCCCTCATGATTGAAATGCTATGTAAAAAAGGAACAAATCTGTCCCCGAGGGCATTGTCCATGGAACTTTCCTTATTCCTAACAGTAGTAACATCAAATATGACGCGACACGCACAAATATAGATATCTCCATTCAACTGCTTGATCAGAAAGCAAACATCAAGCTTCGCCAAAGTAGACAGTTGAAGAAACTATTGATTGCTACTAACTGGTACAATTACTTATCACAATTCATACTCGCTCAATCCAATATATAACACTCTCAATACTAGCAGTGAACTAACATACTAAACTGAACGACATTCAACAGTTGACAGAAGCCACCATGCTGTCCCAAAGTAGACAGTTGAAGAAACTATTGTTCCAACTAACTGTACAATTAATTCATGCATTATCATTAAACTAGCAGGAAACAATTAAGTTAATCGATCATGGTAGTACAAAATTCACCTGAACAAGAAACATAGATTTCGGAGGTATTTTCATATAGTGGCCTAATTTGAAATCTTGCACCAAATAGAGGGCTTGAGACATGCTGATGTAACCATATGTCTTGAAAGCCACATTTGCAAGAGGCTTCCCTGGATACATGTATCCGATGATCAATTCTGTGATCACATTTAGCCCCATTTGCTGTGAAACATTACAATTTTATATTAGAACTTACCACAACTTGGTAGAAACACCTAAATTGTGTTATAACATTACAGTACCATGTTTGTCGTGGCCTGAACCACACCGATAGGCAGGGTGAAAAAGAGAGCAATGCTGCAGGCCAGGAGAAGTCCCCACCAGGGAAGTTGTAATTGCCTATTAAAACCTTCCACAGCTAGAAAGCTAAGAGCCACAGATATAACCAAAAGTGTAACAAACCACCATTGAGGGACTTCTTCATAGTTCTTCTTCATTAATCTTGTATGCACATCAGTAAATTGATTTTTGAATGCACCCGTAGTCTTCTTCCACGAGGTCCAAATTGTCCTATGTTAATTAATTGTTTTACAAAGAAAATCGTTAGCCAAATGAAAGAATTGTAACAAGAAAAGGCGAGGAGAAAGTTCAACTTAAAAAAATCCAAAAACTTACTTTCCTTCAAAGAGTGCAACATGTGAAACAGTAGCCGCCACTGCTGCAAAATTGAGTCCATAATTGAATGCAAACAGAATGCTGAGATAAAGCTTGCTGTAATTGTTATAAGCATCTAGATTAATGTCGAAATTTTTCTGATTCAGAATTCGACTAATGTTGTATGTCTGACCATCACTGTCAAAAGTGTGAGAAGAATAAATGGGGAATTTTTTAGCATCATACATATTAGTCCAGTAAGAAATAGGCACAATTATATACTGAACCAAGGTCATATAACATCTCGTAATTAAGCTGAATTATATATATATCACACAGGTAAAAACACTCACTCAGATTAAATTGTACGCTATGCTCAGAATTCGACTAATGTTGTATGTCTGACCGTCACTGTCAAAAGTGTGAGAAGAATAAATGGGGAATTTTTTAGCATCATACATATTAGTCCAGTAAGAAATAGGCACAATTATATACTGAACCAAGAAAAAACCAGCAAGAGTGTTTGCAATAGCAAAGAAAGGCACGGCTAGAGGAGTCCCCAAGAACCCAGCAACAGTTGACCAGTCCAGGCCGAAGGAGGCAATACCAAGCCCATTTTGCCCTGAACCGATCTGTTGCGCAGTGACAGAGTCCTTCCATATCCAACAAATAAAGGAGATTGTAGATAAGGAAGGGAAAAGGTAGCCTGGAATGATATAATAGGCATAGCTTGATATGAAAACAATAGTAAAGAATTGCAGCCTAGTGAGTCTTCCTTTTGGCCTCTTCTCCTTTTCATTTAATGCCCTGCAGTTCCAATTCCAACATATTTAAGTTGCGACTGTCGCTCTGTTAGGTACATTTACAAACAGGTTATTGTCCATATCAGGGGGTGGAATCATAGAAGAGTAAAGCACCTGAGTAGAGAGACTTGGACAAGATTTGAGGGCCACCACATGTATGGTGAATCCACAAGATATTTTCTGAAAATACCAGCCCATCCATACCCGAGCAACTGTAGTTTTAACATAAGAAACAGCAATTTTACGTACACCTTTTATGACAGGAAAAATATAACATCTCAAGTTTTCTTCCCTTGAGATTTTTTTCTGACAGCCATTATTTTGTGAATTTCTTTCTTTAATGCGACAAACCCATGTCTTATGGCAGAACATTAAAAGAAGAAAGAAAGAAAAGCTTGCCTGAGTTGTTTGTACAAGCAACATAGCTGCAACAGGATTGAGAGGCCTTCTGTAGAAGGCCTTAACAGCAGTAATAATGTTCACTGCATAAACACCACCTGCTCCACAACTTGCAAATATAGTAATCAAAACGTGTTCTTTCAAAGTGAAAGGCCCTGGATTCGTAATCAAAACGTGTTTCTTCAAAGTGAAAGGCCCTGCGATTCAACGAAAATGACCATTTTGTCATGGAATTTTAATCTGTTTATTGGGAATCACTCTAGCCATCAACTTTTCCAAGTGAAGAACTACAATTTGTGCTGGCAACTGCAAGTTACAGTTAGCTGATTTTACGGATGAAGAATTGGTTGAAAACAAAAGGCCAAAGAAGCAGCATGATGTTATTGTTTTGAAACCAATGTAATCTGCTAAATTAATTGAAAGTTTCAGCAGAAAACAAATTTAAAAAGATTAAAAAAATATTGAGAGGAAGAAGATATTCTTTTTACTCATTGTAATGAGAATTATACAAGTTGAAATGGACAGATTCTCCTAAATAATGGAATCCAAATAACACAAAAAATAATAAACTGAGATTCTAGGCTGGAAATTAGGAACTCCAGCAGTGTTATGGAAAAACTGATAAAACAAAAAATATTTGATGAACAGAATGCCAGCACTTCAACACTCCTCCATGGCATTTTTGATGACCAAAACACCAATATTTCCTTCAGAGCTTCAATCTTTCTTTTGGTAAGGAAATTTGTGAAAATGTTCAGATTAATTGTTCTTCAGATAAGCAGGTAACAAGTAATACTTCATTAGATTGTTGAACTTCTCTTAATTAAAATGAAAACTTAATTCTTGATGTGCTTGGTTCGCCTATGAAAAATAGGATTCCTTTGCCGTCGGAAACAGGCAAGATATTATCACACATAATTTCTGGTTGCTCATGAATTAAAATCTTTTTGTTTCATCTCAACAAACTTCTTTTGATTGAAATGCCCAAACTTTTTGTGCCACATAGTCTGATTTACTGAAGATGGTGCCAGTTTAAATGCATGCGCTTAATCAGGTTCCTCCCAATTGATAAGAAACTTCCTTTTTTTGAAATGTTTACAGAGAACATTTTTCTCCTACAGGATTAAAAACTGTGCACTTCCGCTTTCTAAATCAAAAAGCATATCTTTTTCCAAACATCTGTCCATACTCAAGAGATTTTGGCTGATTTTAGGTATATATAAAGAACATCAGAAATTGTTTATACCTGATTGAGTTTGGAAATAGTAATCTGAACCACTGCCTTCAACTTTTAATATTATTGGCCGTTACCCACCTTTCACTTTAGATTATAAGTTTCATCAAAGGATGCTCAATACAGAATTCATCTTTGCCACGAATGATGGAGTGCACCCACTATCAATAAGCAAACAAAAAATCACCTTCACCATCAATAGAAAAAACAAGAACGCAACAACAGCTGCGCTTCTTCATGTACCTCCGGTTCATCGTTGGGAAAGACAGAAAGCCATAAAAGCTTGCTCCTTCCAGACACATATACATCATCCGCCACATTGTGGCTTGTTGGGTTTGAACCATCATTTCTTTGATTTTGCAAGAACTTGGCAACATGTCCCAAGTTAGTTTGCATTTGCCACATACTGCGTCTGTCTCACCAACAGAATTTTTCAAGATTGAGTAGTTTTTTTAGCAAATGACGAACAAGGTGATATTTTTCCTGTTTGGACCTTCCTTATTGCCTTTGTTCTTTTGCCGTTAGGAAACTCTTCTTGCTTTTTTCAGCATCTGTTTATAGCATAGAAAATTGCCCTTCTAGGTGTTGTTCTTGCCTTAAAAGTTCTTCGCTGCTTCCCTGTGCTGAAGACACTCATTTCAATGCAGGCCAATGAAATGTTATTAAGATCCTTGCGACTCTTCTAGAGAACAGATTTTTGATCTCAAACCTCTCAGAAAGGGTCAACAGTACCTTTTCGAGGCAATTCGACTGTCGGAAATCCTTCACCAAGTAGCCTAATATTGTTGACAATTAAAGAAAATTCTATCAGTATAACTTGGCAAAGAGTTCATTTTATTTCTTGCATGGTTAAGGCCTCGGCAAACTCCTTCTTTAAATTCAAACACAAACACCTGCATTTTTGTTTTGTTCTACACTTGCACTTGATTATTCTTGTTTCATCTATCCCAAGCTTCTTTTGCAGTTTTTACAAGCCATAATTCTGTAAAAAACAGCTTCACCAACAGAATTTTGGATAAGTGTTTTCCGCCTTCGATCGCTTGGCTTTTCATCTGAATTGCTGCTTAATTTGGGTTAGAGTTGGATCTCTTGGGTAAAGGAGGAATTTGGTTTGTCCTTCAGTAACGATTTCCCAAAGATCAAAGGCTTCCAATAGCATTGCATCTTTACTGAACCAATAATTTCGGTAGTTTTCACCTGTGAAAATTTCAGGCAGGGTTGATAGAAAAGGTTACTGGAGGGCCATAACTTTTGTGTGACTGTTTTGGTTTTAAAGGTTGAGAGAAGAGGGATTGAGAGACGTTTAAAAAAATTGCGTTTAAAGGTTTAAATGTTTAAAAGGAGGTCCCGAAGACCATGTGGCTCGATTACCAACTGTTGAAAACAATGTTATTTGCTAAATTAATGGAAAGTTTCAGCAGGAAAACAATTTTAAAGATTAAAAAATATGAGAGGAAGAGATATCTTACTTCAATTGGTAAATTTGGAATTTATACTGATGGGAGCGGGTTATTAAAGCGGAAAACAACCCTTATCGAAACCATATGAGCAAAACTAAAACATTACGAACAAATCATAAACTGACCTCTTGAAGCGCAGAAATCGCTCACGGTCTTTCTTTCAGAAGATTCTTGGAGTCACCACGATCTTCTGCAGTAATCCCTAAAAACTATCTCTCTTTGAACTCTGCTGAGGCAGAAGAATAGGGAATAACGTGCGTCTTTTTTATTCTTAGGGTTTTCCAATCTTATATTAAAAAACCTCTCTTCGATAGGAAGATATCTTTTTAATATTAAAATAATTTAAATAAAAAAAATTATTTAATTAAAATAAAAATCAATTATTTTAAAACTTAAATAAATTTATCTATTATTTAATACACCTTAAACTTTCCCAACATAATTAGGACACTTACAAGAGGACCGCAGGGAATAAAATAAATCAGGCTACATTATATTAAGGAACCTAATGTAGACCAACATATAATCTTATTATTAATTAAACTTCGATGAATTATTCCACTAAAAACTCATACTTGAAACTCCTTATTTATTTTACTATTCCACAACATAATAAAATAATGTTCCCCATGTTAAAGATAACAGGATGCTGTCATTTAAGTAAGCTTACTGACAATTTATTTAAAAAATCACAATATAAACTTTATGTTTCTGAGAAGGATGCAACACTTAATCACTTAAAAAATTCAATTTCAATATGTCTGCAAAATTCAGAAAAAACTAACTTTTACGAAGAAGCAATGCAAGCCTATATTACTGTTCCATTTTCACTTTTCAAGGAAAAAAAAAACTGACAGCTCTTTTTTCAATGGCATTTTAATTTACGATTGGAAGTGACAAAAACTTTTTCTTCTTATAGTTGGCTAGAAGTCGGATTTCAAGGCCAGTACCATAGCTTAGTTTTTATGGATATAAAACAATTAATTCTTTGCTGGGGAAAACAGTCCATGTGCATTGCCAGCAGGTACAGGGAGAGGAGATAGGATAAATAACATTCTTGAATCAATTGGCATCAAACCTTCAGATTCATTGGAATCCGGTATCAGAATTGGTTGTGTATTTCTTTTTTAAAGCTATGTTTCCATTTGAGGGATCATGGCTGAAGAAAATTAGTTATCGCATAACATTTATTGTTGGATCTTCTGCCTCAAAATTTCTTTTTTTTTTTTTTTTTATTTACGCGTTAATGACAGCATTTATCGTAAATCTCTTTATTTTTTACTTACTTATTAAAATCGTCTTTTTTTTTTTCAAAATGTTACAATTTAAATTCCTATATATGGTAGAAAGCTATACTATACTATTATTTGGGTATTACAGCAATAGGTGTTCGCCCTCCAAATAAGTTCAAGAGAGGGCAAAGTGCCCTATTCCCTAGTGTTAAGAACTTTACACGTAGATCTCGAACTGAATGCATCAAATGAAAAAAAAGATAATAGACTTATGTCATCTTGTTCTTCGAGATTAAAAATTATTAATTTTTTATACATTGTATGCCGCCCAAGAAAAAAAGAAAAAATAAATAAAGGAGTCATCAAGTTTGCAGTTAGAAAATAAATAAGTATTGATTATAATTATGATAATTAGTATAAATAAAATATTAAAATCTATTTTCTTACAAAAAAGAAAAAACATTTAATACAAATTGCCTTTTTTGTGGGATTATTACAAAATTTATCTTTTCTTTTTAAATTAATTTAATTTTTTAAATTTAAACAATCTCTTAATACATTTAATTTTGTATTATACTTTCAGATGTAAGAAAATGTTTTATATATTGCTTTATTTAATGTATTGCCAAGTTTCTTCGATAAAGAAATGATTTCTTGATGCGAGACGCGTTCAAAGGTGAAAAAGCTTTTATATCTAGAATTGCAAGATTCTTGTGTTTCGAACTTTTGAGGGTCAAGATTTAATTAATTAATAGATGTTAATATGTTTTTATTTATATAATTATATTCTAAAATCAAGATTTCCCCTAAAAACACTACTATTACAAACTAATAAATTAATAAATTTAAAAAAGGGTTTTTATTATTTAATGTTGAATGAATTTAATAAGAGCAAGCTATAATTAGGCTATGGACCATCCTCTTTTTTTTTTTTTAATTGATGTTCAAAATGTAGTCCAATTGGCATGATCTCGTGTTGATTTTTATGTTTTACACCAAAAAAAAGGGGGGGCGGGGGCCAAAGGGGGGGTTTTCCCCCCCCCCCCCCTTTCCCCCCCCCCCCCCCCCCAAAAAAAAACAAAAATTTTTTTAAATCCCTTTAGCAATTTTGATTGGATGAAATTTTATTGGTGT